GCCATCGGTCACTCTTGGCAGAGCTTAATTGGGTTTTCATCACTAAGTGAGATTCTTTTTACTGAGTGAGGTGAGGTTCAAACCTGCCGTTTCAGTATTAAACCAGAAAATGGTTCCGCCGCACCACTGTGGGAATCCACTGTAGAGGCCGGGCCTTGGCTGGCTGTGGAAGGGTTAAACTGCACACCCAGAGGGCAGAGAGCAGACTCCAGAGACCCCCCTGGGCTAAAGTGCATCTCCTCCTCAGCCTCTGCTTTGGCTTTGCTGTTACTCCGATGGTTAGCTATAACCGGTTAATGAAGAGTTTAGATTCCTTTTTCTTTGCTTAAAGCACAGACTTTTCTGTGAAATCCACTTCCCCCATTTTCTTGTTTATAAATTTTTAATTCTACTACTAGAGGCCACCCGTGTCATGGAAACAGCATGACCTGATTTCCAGGTGCCCCTCTGCACCTGCCCAGTGCGTGACTGTGGGTGAGTCCCAGAACATACTCCCCACAACCCCGATCTCTGTGTTCTGATGGGTAGAGAGAAGTGGTGGCAGGTGATAACTCCTGGAGGCTTGGAAATGGGGTCCTAGAATATTAATCCAAAGTGACTGCAGGGCACGCCAAGTCCAGCCATCACACTTAACGGAGGAGAGGCCCTGGAGAGACTGAATGGCCTGTAAGGGGTGATGTTGAAGGGAGACCCTCAAACCTGGTTTATGGTAGTTTGGATTTCTGAATATAAGGAGCATTTAAACTACCACAAGAAAAAATCAAAAAACAAACAAACAAACAAAAAGACAGTTTTATAGTCATCCAGGAAATCCCATACACAGGCAGGGTGACCACCATACAGCCAGGCCTCAAGAGAACTAGTGCCTGGAACAGGAGACCCCTCAGGCTGCAAGAGTTCTCCCAGGGGCTTCATTGTCCTCTGCATCCTCCACTGCCTGGGCTCCATTAGCCTCTGCACAAGCCAGGCTCCCGTGCTGTGCTTACCTGTCCTTCGCTGCCTCCTTCCATTTGTTCAGTGTGTTAATCTGCTCAGGCCACAGCTGCCTTCTGGCCTCCTAGCAGCTTCTCCTTTCCCTACCTCCTCCTTAAAGAGTCTGTTCGGTTCATTCTAGTCTTGGGGACTCTGAATGACTCAGCTTCTCTTTTTGAGCCAGGCCAAGTCGGCCATAGGTTGCTTGAACTCTTATCTTTTGTGTCCAGTTCTGGGGGCCAGGTTCTGCTTCTTCCCAGTTGTATGTGGCCACAGATGTGGGCGCAGGCATTATAAGGACAGTGTGGGCCAGGAGCTCCCATGCTTTCCCCAGATACAGCCTGAAGACACTGGGATGATTTTCAGAGTAGACTGGAGACCCACAGGGGCTGTAGTAAGTGTGTGCATCCGCACAGAATGGTGCAGGACATCTCAAACAAATTCCAGAAGATTCGAACTCATTTTAGGAGAGCTAATTCTATCCTGCCGGATTAGGGGCAGAAATATACAATTTTGTCATTTTTCTTTTGTTTGTTTGTTCGTTTGTTTTGAAACAGGGTCTCACTCTGTCATCCAGGGTGGAGTACAGTGGTACTATCTCTGCTCACTGCAGCCTCACCTCCCAGGTTCAAACGATTCTCGTCTCTCAGCCTCCTGAGTAGCTGGGATTACAGGCGGGTGCCACCATGCCTGGCTAAATTTTGTATTTTTGGTAGAGACAGGGTTTCACCACGTTGGCCAGGCTGGTCTCGAGCTCCTGAGCTCTGATGATCTGCCCACCTTGGCCTCCCAAAGTGCTAGGATTACAGGTGTGAGCCACTGCTTCTGGCCTAATTTTTCATTTTGATGTTATTTTCGTGCTCTTCTTCCAAAAATGCAAATACTGACAAAACTTGAAGATCTTCGTTCTTTTCTTGATGTCGGTGCAGAGTGTACAAAAGTTACCTATATCGGGCACACATTTAAATTATCATTAACAGAGACTGCTGTAGGATTTACTTATGAGTGATTCTGGAAGATTGAGAATGGCACTTTTTCTAAGCTTTGGTTGAGGTTGGGATTGGGAAGGATGGTTCCTCTCACCATGGTTATGCAAAAACTATGGGTTGTAATATGATGCAAAACACGTGTCTCCCAAGAATAAGCAGAGGTGCCGGCTGCCAATGAGCGTTAAGAAATACGGTGACTCGGTAAATGGGGAACCCAAGGGAGAGGGCAGCAAAAGCAAAGAGACCTTTGGTGTTTCTGACTTTCACAAGAGCCTGTCCAGATTTTCATCTGCATCAGCACTTTTCTAACAAAGTTCAGCAGCCATCCGGCATTATCCGGTGGGCGGCCTTATTTACACACAAAATATAATTGATTCCATATTCCTCTCAGATCTACAAACAGCACCCATGTTTGTTTTTAATAACCGGAATTATGTCAGCTTAAAAAAAGGTGTAGATTTACATAGACAGTCTGATGAGTGCCTCAGCTTGTTCCATTAGTAACACAGAGGAGAAACAATCTAAGAAAAACATGTTGAATTTGTGTGCGGAGGTGGAGAGAGAGTTGGGTTAGTGAAATCAGAAAGCTTCCAAGTAATGATTATTACATTTAATAATAATTATATTAGCATTCCACAGGGACTGTTTTCTGGAAATTTTGATAGTACAGTCACTGAGTAATACACATTCAGAGCAACCTAGGCTTCAGGCCATTGGGTGGGAAATGGCCTATTTGCTTTGTTTTGGTCGTGTTTAAACTTAATCCAAAATCAGTTTCTTTTTCAAGAACTAAAATGTCACTAGTCTGTCTTCCACTTCAGGCTTCTGCAAACTTTTTCTGTGAAGCGTCATGTAGTAACTGTTTAGCACAAAATAGACATAGACATCAACAAGTGAGTGTGTTGTGTCCAGGAAAATGTTATTTATGGCACTGAAGTTTGAATTCATATAATTTTCACTTGTCAGGAAACACTATTCTTCTTTTGATTCTTTTTTCCCTGACCATTACAAAATGTCAAAGCCGTACTTAGCTTCCAGCTAGTACAGTTTGGTTCATAATTTCCCAACCCCTGTTCTAGTTCTGACTTTGTCTTTGTAGTTAGAATTTTTTCTTTTGGGGAGAAAACTCCACTTTGCATATGAAAGAGAACCAAAATATGTGTGTGTGTGCGCGCATGTGTCTGTGTGTCTGTGAGTGTGTGTGTGTATGTGTGTGACTCTGTGTGTGTGTTGAGCTTTTCTGTTTCTTCAGCTCCCCTCTTGAGGAGGAAGCAGGGTCTCTAGACATTAGAACTCTGGTTGTTCGAGGCTGCCACCAGCAGTTTAGTGCTGATGGCAAGGAGCCTCACCTCAGGGACTGAAAAACTCTTCTCCACACAGAGAATTCTGAGGGACTCTTGAAATAGAGGGAATTGAGAATGCAGACAAAGGCAGAAACTTGAGAGGAGAGCTGCTGAGCATTATATGAACATAGCTGTGTAAGGGCTGTGAAAATGGTATTGGTGTTCTCAGAATTTCTTTGCAAATATATATGTATTTTAAAAGGCTTAGGTCTCTCAGCTGCTTCTTTTCATCCTTATTCTTAGAAGGAGGCAAAAGACATGCTTCTACAAATTATAAACACCTGGTTTTGTTTAGTGTCGTATTGAGGGAAATTAGGAAAGTTGCAGAAACATTCGTTTTCCTAAATTGTTCTACATAACTTGTGACAATGCACTGAAGACATATGCATTGTGTTTAGTTAGATCCGTTTAATAAGAATCATTCTTATTACGACACCTCCCAAATCCTTCAAAAATATAAAGCTTTTAAATATTTGTCCCCTTTTATAATTAGTCTAGATTTAGCAGTGGGTCTTCCTGATTTGAGAGGAAGCATGCTTCATGGTTGCCTGGCAACAGCTAATCGTGGTATTAGGGGCCAACAAACAGTTGGCAGAAACTGTAAATTCTTTTGTCTTGTTAACGAAAAATGATAGTTAAAGAAACAGCAGTATATTAAGTCTGTTCTGTTGTTCAAACCTATAACTTAAGTGATAAATTCCTGTGCTAATATAACCTCCACGTGCTGCTGAAATTTATAGCTGGTTTAGAGAACCTGCTCACTTCGGACTTGAGTCACATGTCATCTGCTCGTGGTACTGAAGCTCATCGGGTGGGACAGTGATGTCATAGAGGCGTTGTTTTCTCAAAGGGCTCTTAAGAAGAATCTGAGGTGTTTGTTGAATGATGGGTTTTGAAATGTGTGTGAAGCTCCAGCATAAACGTCCGAAGTCAGGGTTCTGGTTCTTAAGCAGGAGCCGCGAGTTCACCATCGATGACCTCAGTTCCCATCTCCTAGTGGGCCTCCGTGGGTGCAGACACCAGCACCCAGCCTGTGTGATCCGTCCTGGTGCGGGCCAGGCCCTCTTCTCGTCCGCTCCAGATCCGCCAGGCTCAGCGTAAGTTTTCTAGCACAACTTCATGAAATGAATTCTCATTTCATAAGCAAATACAGTGTGAGTCATGCTTTGGCCACATAGAATTAAGAAGGAAGAAAAAACACTATTTATTTGGTTGGTACTTTTTTTTTTTTTTTTTAAGAAACTACACTGTATTCCAGATTTGTCCCCAGATCACTGTCAGCTTCCTCTCCTGTGGGTGTATGTTTTTAAAGGACGTCGTCTATTACAGGTCAGGATCCCGCTCCACCGGGCACTTCAGTGTGTATTTTCTCACTTAACTCCCAGCTCTGTGCAGAAGGTTTGGGAGACACCAGTGCTGAAGCCAAGTCTTATGGGGACAGACGGGGAGGAGCCGGGTTGAACGCCCAGGTTTTCTCTGGTTTCCAAGCCCATACACTGCCTTTATCCTTAGTTTTGGGCCCAGTTTTCAGAACACATCCAGAATCATCCATTTGCCCAGCGAACCGACATAAGGTAGCAAATGAATGGCCCAGATGTTGAATGTATTTCATCCTTTGTTTCCTTGATTTCTAAAAACAGCCCTTAGGTATTTTTATCGGGATTTTTAAAAAGCACCCCTTGTTGTATACGTTCTCTTTTTTCTATATGATCTCCTGCCCCGCCTCTACCATAGTCAGAAATCTCACGTCTCAACAAACATCTCTCTCCTGTCTTCACCGCAGCCTCTTTCCCCTTCAAACTGGACATTTTGGATTTTCCCTGCTAACCTTACCGCCCCTCCCCGGGCTCCAGCTCAGCAGGAAGAAATGTCGTCAGCAGAGGCTGCAAACCCAAGCCTGTGCCTTTTCAGTGGTATTTTTACTACGAGCTGAACTACTTCAGCATCGTGTAAACACGCTGGAGTGTGTTAACAGCTGCCTCTCTTTTAAAGTTGAACCAGCTCAGAACTAAAAGGGGAACTGCTTTCAGGTTCTGTTCAAGTTTGCATGTGACAGCATCAAAGCTATTTTTAGCAGAGTGATCGCCGGCAAGAAGCTGGAAACGGCTGCTTTCAACTATCAACAGTGGAAAGAAGGGATCATATGCACTGTTGCAGCTCTTGAGTCCGTTTATGTGGGAGACACAGGGGTGTGTACATCTCTTCTTCAAAGTTACAAGGCGTCTTGTCCCCCATCACCTTGGCAGAGACAGGGTAGTGTGAATTTAGCACTTGCTTGCCTGAGCTCCAAGTTAAAGTAGATACACTGATAATAGTGAATTATAGGACTGTCCTCAATGTCTGCTCTGAAAAGAAGGCGAGGTATAGATGCTCAGAAACATCCACTAAACTTTTGAAGTGTTCGAATTGTTTCTTCAGTTCTCCTTTTCTTTTCCAAACTCAAGAGACAGCAGGAAACGGGAGGTGGTTATGTAAGCATCATGGCAATGAAGAGAGCATGAGTCACTTACTAGCCATGCGACCCTCATTGAGTGACTTTGCCTTTCTGAATTAAGTGTTCTTAGCTGCAAAACGAAGATCATAATACCAGCCCTATATACTTTATAGGACTAGTTTTTTTTTTTTTTTTTTTAAGTGTTCTTAGCTGCAAAACGAAGATCATAATACCAGCCCTATATACTTTATAGGACTAGTTTTGTTTTTTTTTTTTTAAAGCAGATGTTTGTTGAACACCTATTCCATGCCAGCTACTGGGGACATAAGCCGAATCGGATCATCCGTGTCTCCAGAGAGCTCACAGTCTAGCTCCATGAATAAATAACTTATAACACGGTGTGTTGCATGGAAAGGAGATGGCATAAGACAGATAGGATCTGCTCTGAGCATGGACGGAGGCAGGAAGGAGACAGGAGGAGCAGTATTTTCAAGACTGCATAGAAGTTTGCAAAGAAAACAAGGGAGTGAGGGACATTCCAAGCAGGGGCAATTGAGTAGCAATGACAGAGGTCAGAGGCGCTCTGGTGTCTCCAAGGGACCATGAGTAACCTGGTATTGTCAGAGCAAAAAAAACCTACAAGACAAGGGATGGCAGGAGAAGCTGGAGCAAGTGGAGCCAATTGTTTAGTGCTAAAGAACTTGGAAGTGGCACAGGTCACAGGGAGCCAGGAGTCATTTTGAGCACACGATTGACGGGGTTATACACAAATTAAAGTGGAATCATTGCTAGCAAAAGTCCCTGCATCTGTGTATATGAAGTGGTAACAGTTTAGTGCAAGCAAAGGATGCCCTACACATAAAAGTGTCCTCCCTGGAAAGGCTGAGCTGTGGAGCAGTACTGAAACTTGGAGGCCTGTGACTCCTTTTAACATTGCCTTTAAAGAGGGTGGAGGTAGAGAAGAGCAGGTGAAAGGGAGAGAAGTAGCATACTTTCTCAGACCCGATTGGTACTGGGCTCTGCAGATGGCTTTGGAGGGTAAGTCACCTCCTTCAGGAGCTTTCAGGCCAGGTAGCACTGACAAGGAAGGCGCGAGCCTTGGCAGCAGTGTGTGGCCTGTGTGTGGTCAGGGGACTTACAAAGGTGAGCCCAATGTCCCAGCACCAAGAAGCACAGCCCATGCACAGCCACGAGTCAACTTCCTCCAAAGGTTGCAGGAGGCTGAGGTTTTTCGGGTTATGTTTTTTTTTTTTTTTTTTTGAGACGGAGTCTCGCGCTGTCGCCCAGGCAGTGGCGCAATCTCGGCTCACTGCGAGCTCCGCCTCCCGGGTTCACGCCATTCTCCTGCCTCAGCCTCCTGAGTAGCTGGGACTACAGGCGCCCGCCACCTCGCCCGGCTAGTTTTTTGTATTTTTAGTAGAGACAGGGTTTCACCGTGGTCTGGATCTCCTGACCTTGTGATCCGCCCACCTCGGCCTCCCAAAGTGCTGGGATTACAGGCGTGAGCCACTGCGCCCGGCCTTCGGGTTATGTTTAAAACTTCAGTTGTGTGGTCCTTCTTATACGCCACAGAAATTGAGAGAAGAGGGAAGCACAGAAGAAAACAAAGTAAAACAAAGCAAAACCCTGACAATCATACTTAACTGTACACACCCAGAAAGAAGGGTGCTGAGAAGGCACAGTGTGCTACCACATTTTGTAAAGCTTGATGGACACACCCTCATAGTTACATAACTATGGACAAGAAGTGACATTACTTTTTTGAAACTGTGTTCTCTTTTAATTTAATGCTGTCGTGGAAGTTTAGCAACATTGTTTGCCTCAGTTTACTTCCAGGAGAGGAATAGATGTTTCTATAGTTTTTCTTGAAGAATCGAATGGGTATTAGGTACTAGGTGTGTAAGAATCAGTTTCTTAGGCCCCAGCCCGTGTAATGGTGGAAGAAAAGCACTGTACTTGGCCTTCCCAACCATTTCCTTTTTGGTTTTCCTGAGCTACAGTATGTGGGGAGGGACTGAGAGAGGGACACGTGGGACAGTTTGCTAACAGCAGAGAGTCGTGGAATCATTGCTAGCAAAAGTCCCTGCATCTGTGTATATGAAGTGGTAACAGTTTAGTGCAAGCAAAGGATGCCCTACACATAAAGTGTCCTCCCTGGAAAGGCTGAGCTGTGGAGCAGTACTGAAACTTGGAGGCCTGTGACTCCTTTTAACATTGCCTCCCCATCACCTTGGCAGAGACAGGGTAGTGTGAATTTAGCACTTGCTTGCCTGAGCTCCAAGTTAAAGTAGATACACTGATAAGTTTAGTTAGATCCGTTTAATAAGAATCATTCTTATTACGACACCTCCCAAATCCTTCAAAAATATAAAGCTTTTAAATATTTGTCCCCTTTTAT